GCCGACCTATACCGCAAATTCTGGTCCACCATTGGCAACACCATGGCGGGCCTCTTCACCACCATGGGCGCAACGGGGCAGGTGCCGACCGGTTTCCTTGAGGGCATTATCACGGTGCTCTACAAGAAGGGCGACCCCAAGCAACCCGGTAACTACCACCGCATTACAAGACTGTGCTCTGACTATAGCCTGCTCGCCAAGGTACTGGCAAACCGCCTGGGGCCGGCCCTGGGGTGCATCATCACCCCCAAGCAGTCAGCCTTCCTCCCCAAACGGCTCATCAGTGCCAGTGTGATGTTCCTCTGGCACCTATCCCACCTCCTCCACAAGCAGAACCGCTGGGGGCTCCTAGCATTCCTGGACTTTGCGAAGGCATATGACACGGTGGACCGAGGCTTCTTGCTAGCTGTGATGGAGGTGATGGGGGCGGGCCTGCAGCTGTGCAGCTGGGTTCGGCTGCTGCTCAGCAACAAAGGCTTCAAATCAAGACTGGTTGGGATGGAGGCAGGCATGCGACAGGGGTGCACCCTCATGCCTCTGCTGTACCTCTTCATAGCCCAGGCCCTGCTCTGCTGGCTCCAGAGCCGAGATGTGGGGGTCAAACTATGGCCGAACGACCAGGACCGCGTCACAGCCTGCCAGTTCGCGGACGACACTGAAGTGGTGCTGGAGGGCGAGGAGTCAGTACCGTCGTTCCTAGAAGCCATGGAGACCTTCGCAAGGGCATCAGACCAGCGCCTCAATGTGGAAAAAGGTGGAGCTGTTAAGGGTGGGTGCCGAGAGCCAGCAACAACAACAGCAGCCACAACAGCCGCAGCAGCAGCCACAACAGCCGCAGCAACAGCCACAACCGGCAGGTGGGCAGCAGCGGCAGCAGCCACTATACAACAGCCGCAGCAGGAGACAACTGGTGGATTCAAAGTGGTTACCATCGCCACAGCCCTGAACTTGCCGGTAGACAACCGGCCCACACCCCCACAACCCGAATGGCCCAAGATGCTGGCAGGAGCCTACAAGCAGATTCAGCGGCTCGCTTATTTCCTGCTGTCAGCCTTCGGCAGGGCCACCGCCACGTCCACCTACAGCCTGCAGACGGTGACCTGGCACATGGCACATGGCAGGCCACCTCCGGACAACACACTGGACCACATCGAGCGACTGACGGCCTGCCTGGTCGACCGACAACAGGGCCCAGAAGACCCAGGCCAGCGCCTCACAGGTGTACCCAACAGCCTTCTAGTAGGCCATCCGTCAGCCGGGGGTTTTGGCCTGCTTCCACTCCGACAGAACATCCACGCACGCCATGCAGTCTGGGCCGTGTGATTCACTGCACAAGCCCTGCCAGCAGCAGGTTGTGAAGGTAGGGGTGCGGGAGGGGAAGTAACTGGGGGAGCAGGCGGGGACGAGGAGGTGGCAGCGGCAACCAACAGTGAGGCCCGGGGCCTACACCCCTGGGTACACATGCTGTCCGCCTACTTGGAGCTCAACCACCCCGCACTCCAGCCTTGGGCTCTGACAACCGCCTGGGCCACGGGACCATGGCTCGGCAGCAGCGACCTTCCCACAGACATCAGCCGTATCGTGGAGCCACTGGGTCACTTGCCGCCTTTGGAGGACATTGGCAGAACCCCACTGGAACCCGGTGATTGGTGCTGGGCGGCGGTGCTATGGGGCAACCCACTGCTGCCCAATGCGACCAATGCTGCAAGCACCGAGGGCCCCAGCTGTCGACCAGGCCTGGAAGTGTACCACGCGGCACTGACACCATGTAGGAAACTGTGCACGGTGGGGGACCTGGTACGGGTGTGGGAAGCGGCAAACAATGACCAAGCCACCACCCTCCAGGGAGCAGCTTGGCACTCGTGCACCCATGAGCACCTCGACCCAGCCACAGGCCCCGCCCAGCTGCAGGACAAGGATGCCGCCCTTGCAGCTCTTGGAGCCCTGCACAGCGACATCAGCCCGGCCTGGCTGGAGGCAGCATGCGTGGTGGGGATCAGGCTGCAACAGCAGCAACAAGTGGAGGAAGAGGGGCCCCAGCAGCAACCATCAGCACTGGCAGTGACACTGCCAGACTGCACACAAGTGATGGCCATAATCATTGGGCGCCTGGGGTGGCGCCTCCCTGGGGCGACGGATGCTGTGCCGCTCCGCCACCTAATGGTCAGTCAAGCGACACAGCTACAAACGGGCACGTGAACGAGCGGTGAATATGCCTGATGACCGACTTTGTGCATGAGGCCCTGAACACGCCCGAGACCCAGGCCCAGCCTGATGCTGCTGCCGAGCTTAGCCGCTCTCAGGCAACTCTGGCACGCTTGTGGCATGGGGTGCGCTGGTAGAATGAGAACAAGGAGACCATGTGGCGTCTCGCGGTGGATGGTGTGCCCCTACCTGGTAACACACATCTTGCCCGGATGCCCACTGAGCCATGCGGGTGTGGGACCTATGGGGGCGCCGCCGGCCGACCCTGCCCACCGCATCTGCACCACTCCTGGGAATGTCCAGTCGCATGTGCCGTACAGGAGCAGATCGGCAGGCACCTGCCACACACACAGACAACAATAGGGGCCACCACCACCCGGCAGCAGCTCTGGCTTGCCCAAGCGCCACCCGGGTGCAAGCAAGGCCCCTGGGATGTGATCACCCTAGCGGTGCTATCCGCCATGGAAGTCGGCAGGTGCTGCCTTCGAGCAGCAACCTGGCGACAGGGATGGATGGGGGTGACAGCAATGGCGGGACAGCAGCAGCAGCAGCGGTGACAGCAACAGCAGCAGGTGCAAACCATGATGGGGCAGCCTCAGCAGCAGAGATCCCGCCAGCAGGCCATCACAGACTTCTTCACCCCGGCTCGAGGTGCAGTGCAGCAAGAGGGACCCGCCCTAAACACCCCAGCGGATGACGGGCCAACGCAGGAAGCATGGGCGGGAAGGGGCAAGGTGGTGGCAGCAACAGCAACAGCGGGTGCAGCAGGAGCCTCACCATTGGCCCGTGCACGTGCCCAGGTGGTGGCAGACTTCTGGGCGCGTCTGCACTCGTTCGTGATGCTGGAGACCCCCAGACACGGCTGGGACAGAGTCGGGCCGCAGCACCCCATCCTGAGGGTCGTGGAGGAACAGATGCGGTGTGCAGCACCGGTGGAAATCACGGCCTAAATAGCTGTACTCCACTCGAGTCACTGGCTCTTTTTGGAGGGGAGCAGGGAGAGTGAGGGAGAGGGGGTGAGAGAGCCAGCAGTAGGGATAGGTGGGAAAGGTGAGGGAGCAAGGAGAGCAGGGAGGCCCTGGGCAGTTGGAGGGCTGGGCAAGAGAGCAGTGTCCTAGCCGAGGGTCACGTGGTCTAGCAGGGGGAGGTGTGGAGGCGGGCTGTGTGTGTTTGTGTGCTCGTGTGTATGCCCTCTCCCCGGGAATTGGGGCCCATCGAAGAGAGGGGACTGGGTTCTATACTGTCTGGCATCAGAGTAGAGACGGCGTAGGTGGCTTGCGGGAGTGGAGAGGTGGGAAAGCGGTGGAGGAGAGTGGTATGGAGGTGGAGAGCAGGTGATGCTGGTCCCGGCCGGCCAGGGTCAGGAGGGGAGGGATCTCGGTGTGGTAAGCGGGAGCAGGCAGCGTCTGTGAGCCGTGCCTTTCTTGGGCTTTGTAGCGGGGCGCCGCACTGGCTTGTCATCCCCCCGCGGGAAGCCCACAACCCCCAGGAGGAGACTGCCATACAGACCAGTTTTTCTTGCCTCGGTTGAGAATGGATCGGTGAGGTAGTGGTGGCCGTCCTCGGTAGGTGTCCGATTCTAGTGGTAGGTGAACAGCTGGCCTTAAAGGTCCAGTGTACGAGTGCCCACATTGTGTTTGTCTTCTTGGTGCAACCGCGTCTTGGCTTTTGTGGTGTGGCTTCTCAGGCCCGTGGTCCTCCATGTATTTCTTACCTTGCTGGCTGCAGGGGCCCTTGACTAGGAGAGTCTTCTGAGGGGCCGTACCTGACGTGGGTAGGTCTTACCTTGCCCCGGTTTTTTGAGTGTGTAGTGGACCCCCTTGAGTAGAGTCCCTGCCCCCGGTGGCGTTTTCTCTTTGTTCTTGATTTGGAGACGAGAGCGCGCGATTAGGCTGGCCTGGCGTAGTGGGGCCAGATAGCTTGTTTAGGTCTCCCAGCGGTGGTGTGGCGCCTCTCGTGCGTCTCTCGCTAAGTTCGGTTTGCAGTCTTCTGCGCCGCTGTGTTGCCTAGCCATGGGCTGGGAGGGCGTCCTGGTTGGCGTGAGGGAGTGAGGCGCGCGCGGAGGAACAGACGGACGTAGAGCCGCGCGTCTGCCCCTGCGCTGTGTTTCGGCCCGGTCAGGGCCCCCGGTGCTCGTCCTTTTCTCGGGGCGAGCCGCCCACAGTGTAACACCCCAACCAACAACATAACTTGCAAACACCAGACGCGCAGGAACGCTTGCGCAATAATATATCCAATCAAAAAATACCATCCGCCGCGTCAACCAAATGAGTGAACTGCCAAACATGACATCGCTGATACGGACACTTAGTGGCCAGCCGAAAAGTGCGTTGCACATACTTCACTAAGGTATATTGACACGATAGCATTAATATCAGACAACGAAAGCATGTCCAATAGTCGTCGTATAGCAGAAAGCAACAAACCAGTCTGTGCTCGTGAGACGCAAAGCAAACTGATAAAAAATAATACGGCATTAGCAGGCGGGGGGCCATAACCATTTACCCAGCCTTTATTCCTTTTATTCATTCAAGAAATACTGGACTGTTTTCAGTTGGCAGGCTTATGTTCTCTTGCCAAGTGTGACCTTTGTTGTACGTCATCCATCGCCCTGTATCAAAAAGTGCAAGGCGAAGTGGATCCAGGTCATCGTCCTGAATCCATTGCCCTGACGGCCGGGCGACCCGTGAGGGGCCTCACAGTTGTGTACAACATGCTTACCTCAAATTGTACAGCAGGCATAGCTCTTGGCTGGCAAAATAAATGATTTGCGCTTGAGATATCTATCAGTGACCAGTTCAGGACATAGGCCAGAATTAGTTATAAACTCATATGTTGTTCGTTTCAAGATCGCCTGTACGTGCACATATTGACGCTGGTTACTGGTCATGCCCTTTGGGTACTGGCTATGGAAGATAAGGCGCCAAGCACCCCGAGGACAGAAGGCTCTCTGGACGAGGGAAGGCAATTTAGCCCTCCCCGTATTGGGCCTGCGCGTGTCCAACAATGCTGCTCTTCTCTTTTTTGGCTAATTTTGGAGTTGTGGCGGCGCATCCGCCTTGAGGTTGTTGTGGAGGTGAGGCTTCGTCCGCAGCCGCCCGCGGGCACAGTCTGAAGTACATGGCTTTCAGGCTTTGCAGTGGAATTCTACTTTTTGCAGTGGCCCCTTTTGAAGCAACGCTGGAAGGTTCTGCTGTTTGGTATTGTGATGCAATATGTACATGGCATTTTCACGCAGCTGGCACATCGTATGCACCAGCCCCAGGTTGAGCCACTGCATGACGTTGGCTTTGATCTCACACCGGTAAGACCAGTTGGAAGTCGTGCGCAGACATGCTAGAAAGGAACTGGAGCTCCTCATGCTTGGAAATGTTGCACGCACCGTGATAGGAGCTTGGTCCAGACAATCATTGGGTCAGCGAAACTATTTTTGGGCTTGGTTTCGCAATGTTCGTGCTGTGGACCTTTTCTCCTTTCCTCCGTAAGGACAAGCGCTTCTACACTGTTGTTTTATGGACGCGCCTCCTAATGGTGCTCGTAGGTAAGTTAGATTCCCTGGGGCATGGGGTATTCGTGCCCTGAATAGTTCTTAGTGCTTCCATTCCCTTTGTGGTAGCGTCGGTTCTCGTCGGATTCCGTGTCAATTATGCTAGCATACGAACATGTTTGCCACCTAAATGGTGTTCAAGGTTGGTATGCCGGGCTTGATTAGTCAAGCCCAGCCAGGACGCCCACGGTCCTCTAATGCACACGACAGTGGTAAGAAGTAGGGGAAGCATTTGGCCCGCCTTGGCTTAACTTTGCTATCGCCTAGAAATTTAGGAATTGATACAAGAAGTGGCTGATCAGAATCGCCTAAGCCCTATCGCGAATTGTTTTACGAATTGGGTTTCGGCTACATTCTCTGCCTACTCTAGAAGCGGCCTGAAGCGGCCTGATCAAAAGGATAAAGAAAAGAAGAAGCTGACACGGTCCATGGCTACTCATTTTCACCACTCACAACTTGTAAAGAGTAAGGTGATGTTGTTCAGATCAGACGACGGTCTGGAAGAAGGGGTTCGTGTGCTTAACGAACTGGGTGGCAAACCAGCATACTAGGTTGAAAACGAGGCATGCCACCAATTTGAGCTATTCCTCATGTATTTGTTAACAGGGGCGTTCCAAATAGTAAAGCTCAACATATGGGGAATTTCCACTTGGATTTCAGAAGCCTTACAGGGAGTTTCCACTTGGCCGCACATTAACATTAAGTACTAAAAATCTCACACCTGGCTCAGCGAATCACCCAGGCGATAAGAAACTAGTTCAATATATTTATAGAAACTAAAAGCTCTCTAAAAGATTTGTGTAAAGGTGCTATAACCGAAGGGCCCAGTGGAAACGCCTCGTACACTAAGTCCGCATTAGTGGCACACTAGTTATCAGGGTCTGAGGCCCTGACCAGGGCCTCAGACCTGCTGATAACTTTCAAAGTGGACACATTAAGTTCCGAGCGGGAATATTTATAGTCAGCCATTTTCCCTCCTCTAGGTCCTTCGTTGACTTTTCTATTTTCCTTTATCCATAGTCGTAAATAGCCCGCTGACCAGTGAAATTCCGAGGGGACTGGTCGAATTGCCACATTCCAGCATTTAGTCTACCAAACTGCATTGTTTTGCGCATTAAATTACACCCTACTCTTACTATTTCAATGGCGTGGCGCCTTAATATGAACCTGTCGTATGGTTCCGGGGCGCTCAGTAGAAACACCTATTCAATAGCCACACACTAAATCCACGTTAAAGATAATGTTGGAAAGTTAGTGTGCGGCCAAGTGGAAATATCCTGTTAATCCGTCGGATATGGAAACACCGCGCGGATTAGGCGGGTTAAGGTTGGCGCGATTAGTTTCCGCCCGTATTTGCTCGCTCCGCGGATTAAATATATATTGATATGCGATGAAATGTGCGCAGTTTCCTATACTAAACGCGTAAACTTGTGGGGAAAATGTGCTACCTGGTGGCCACAAGGTATCAAATTGACAATCTCGGCTTAGCACTTTTGACTACGCCTCTTAAAAAGCCTGATTGGTAGGTTGGAAGGTTATCCTTTATAAAGCTGTTGGTGTTCCTAGTTTTCTGGAAGCTTTGCGCTTCTTGTTCGGCATTATGCACCACACCGTGGGTGTCGTTCAAAGGTGCTACAAGGCCTTCATGTTGATGCCCGATAGTCGACTAAATGTCTGGCAATACTCGTGCATTTTATACACGGAATGGCATATATTGTACTTCATTCCGTTCCTTAGTCCAGACGTATGAAACATTTCTCGTGGATTACCGGCAGATTGGCGTGGATTACCTTCATCCGTGACTTTTAATCCAAGCGGAAACAGCCCCATAGTTGGATATTATAATATTTGATGCCATCTGGGGACGGTTGGCTTGCACGCTTCCAACTTCAATCGAGGGCCGTTCCATGCGTGCATGTGATTATGGTTGGACTTGGTAATATCCCTTGTGAATCGAGCCCATCATTCCGTCTGCTTACCTCCAAACTTGCATTACTTCGATAGAAGACTCATCATGTGCTTACGTTCATTGAATATTTGACATCCCGTGCCTGGATCCTGCACTTAATTCCTCTTTGCTCAACAGTCTGCCAGGCACTGCGTATCGTGACATTTTCCGTCACGCAGCTGCCAGGGCCCAGCTTCCATTGCCGAGCGAATGCGCCCAGTGCGCGACGTCCCTGGCCTGCTCACTGGTCGGGACACTTAGTCGTGGATGTTGGACGCCAAGTGTCAAAGAGTTGTGGCGACCTCATCTTCTCGTCACATACAACTTTTATACTTACTGGTACGCGCAAATTATTGTTTGTCGGGTGGGTTCAAGATCTCGATGTGGTTTACTCGCGCCTTACATACCTACTACGTGTTATTGGTACTGACTGCAACTATCTATTGCATTCAACAGGTATCCTTGCCTATAACGAATATGGCTTTCTTCGAGCCATGAAGGCTATGTCGTGGCTGCTGGGTGTTGTGCTATCGATCCTCATTGTTGCAAGCCGGAAACACTACACTGTGGACGTTATAATTGCTTGGTACACGGTCCCACTGGTATTCTACATGATGTACCGCCGCTGGACAACGCGACGGCCAATGAGCGATTTCATTGGTGACGCGCCAGTACCTGCCTTCGATGATGTGGATGGCGGCGAAATGGAGCTAGAGGAGGTGTGGGCATCATAACTACATAGGCACCGTGTAGGGCTAACTGTCTTTCTATTGTCTACCTCGGGTCAGTCTCTTGCATTACGTTCTGCGTATGGAGTTTGAAACTTCCCTGTGCCACACAAATGCTGGCAAGCTCACCTGACAATTTTTTGCAAATGTGCCGGGTACAGGTGCTCATCGAGCGCAGCTCATGTGGGAGTGGCCCGCTGTTCGGCTGCATGGATGGCAGTGGCCATGGCATAACAAAAATGATGCCCCGCATAGGCACATTGAAGATTAGCGTACGTGCTCCATTGGCTGACCGCCACCTGGGGGCGGTGGTGGGCTTAGGCCAGAGCAGTCCTATCCTGGGAACTGGAGGGACCTTCATTGGGACCTCAGGGAATCACTTAATTGAAGGTGTTATTTCTAAGCCTTGTGAAACACAAGTTAGAACAAGTTCAGGAACTCTGACATCAGTTGTACGAGGACTAGGGCGTCCAGCTGTGCAGGGCCTTGATGTGTTGCCTTTGCAGCAGCATCAACTGCAGAGACAGCAGCCTGGACAGCAGGTTGAAGAAGAGCTGCCGGACCGGTGGACACAAGGTACTCCAACAACTACGTCTTCATTGTGGTTCTTAGCACCAAACACGTAGCGGCGGTTTTGTTGTACGATCGCCATGTGAGTAACTGGGTGTCAAATGCTGGAAGACATCGTCACATGTGATGGATACCTAATTATTCCTGTGAAAGATATGTGATAGGTTGACTGTAAGAGTAGGTTTTTGTTAGTACTGAGTACTGCATTGGAGCACTTCGACCAGCTTGTACTGTGCGCTGTAAGGGATTCTTATATCCCCCACAGATGAAGGTTTGTGTTCACCTGTTTGGGATTTTCCTTTTCTCCTCACCTGTATTACATTTAGTAATGTAATGATCTTGCAACTTGAGCCTGTGATACAACCGTGCGGCAAGAGCTATTGTATCAATGCTTGGAGCAATCCAGGAGAAAGTATTGTGTGGCCTTGCCACCACAAAAGATGACATAAGCCCATAAGGAGGATATCAAACGCCTTAGGAACTGACATCTAATTTCTTCCTAGCCTGCCGTCAAAACTAGCCAAAAGGACTGCGGACCTCACCCTGTCTCGGCTTCCCTAAGGTCCGTGTTAAGCCATTCAGCCTTATCCCGGCGATTGGTACCGAGGTGCGCTTCCAACCAGCTGCACTGCTATCCTCGCGTGGCCAGTATCGTCAATGCAGCTTACACCCATTTCGAACTCGTCACAATGCAGGATGCTGTTGAGCAGGACACGACCCTCTTCCCTGAATCCGCTACGCTTCGCGTTATCCTTACCATCCACAAGTTTATTCCAGAACTGGAAATTGGGGTCACAGTGGATAAAATTGGGGTTCACAGTGGATACTTTCCGAATCCCTTGAACAACAACCGATTCGAGGGCAAGCCTGTGCCCGCCAGCTGAAATAAGGACATTGAAATTTCAACCCATTTGTCATCTAGCGCGATGTCGAAGTAACATGATCGTGGCGCCTGATTGTTCGGGTACTCCTGCTCAAGCATTTTAAGGACCGTTGCTGGGCCCACACTTAGATTCTCAGGTGCTCTGCAAACCTCACGCAACGCATATGTAGGCTTGCCCACCTGAGATTTGTCTTTTCGTGTAGTGGGAGTGGTTGAAGGTGCTGCAGCCTAAGTTGTGATGGGACTTATGATAGATGGTACGAGCAGGGTCTTTCCATTGGCTGGTCGTAGATTCTCCTTAGGGCCGGCCGTGCCCGCCGCACCTCCTTTTTTGGGATTTCTTGCACAGACTAATAATATAGATGTAAACGGAGGGACCCTTCACTATGCCGTGCAAAGCACCACCAAGGAAGGAGCAAGCGCGCCAGACACAGCAGCTACAGCAAATGCGACGGCAGGGCCGTAATGCACAGCCTGTTGCTGCCCCAGGCCAACCAGGCCCCTCAAACGGGGGAGGGCCCTCGTATGCAGCGGCCGTGATGCGGTCAAGGTGGGGCATGGAGGCAGCCATGGGAGCAGGACCCCAGCTTGCACCCATGGGGAGGGTGCTCAACCCGGAGCTGCAGCCGTATATCACACCCCCACCCGTGCCGCCTGCATCAGCCATCACCACCACCAATGTGGCCACCACCATTACCACGGCCGCAAACACCCCAGCCGCCATAGCAGCTACCAATCATGCAGGCCCCAGCCCAGCTGCAGGCCCCGCCCCCACCACCACCCTTGCCGCTGCAGCCGCCACCAGTGGCCCCGCAACAGCCAGGCCCCACGGCGGCGGCAGCAGCTCTACAAGGGCTAGGGGCACAGACCGGCCCCACGGTGATGGAAGAGGAAACCACAACCCACAGGGAGCGCGACACCACACTGGCGGCACCACGGGAGCAAGAGCCACCAGCAGCCATAGCCAACACACACCCCACCTTCCTGTTCACAGCAGGTAGGAAGGAGCCAGGTGGCAGGCAACGGGTTTTCATACATCTAAGCATATGCATAGTTAAACATGCCCGAGTCAACTGATGATGAAGGTGCCCCGCATCTCCCTCGGGATTCGCGGCTTCGGCAAGCTCGAACCGCCTGTTTGCCTTCGATGTCAGCGAACTTGACGTTTTGCAGGAAGAGTTTTCAGTTATGAAGTCAAAGATAGCCTTGCTTTGGGTAAAATCCTTGCTGAAATATTTCTCCCAGGAGCTATGTTCCAAAATAAAATCAAACACCTGTTAATTCAGCCGTCCTAGCATATAACGATAGAATCCAGCTAAATTTTACCCCGAAAACCGCTTTAGACAGTTTCGGGGTACCCGAAAACATTCTCCGGCTGACAGGAAAATTTTCGGGGAGGGCCCCGAAAGGTTAATCAGAGGGTTTCGGACACGGCCGAAATTTTTGGGTACCCTGGTGAAGAACCCTGTTGTCAGACCTTGTTGTAGCGCGTTAGAGCGTTACAGAACTTAATCGCTGCGTGATTAAGGCACGACTTGATAAGACTGAGCTACGAACAGTCTACGAATATCTTAGAGTTTAGACGTGCTTCCTAACCAAGGAATGACACGAACTTGAGATACCTACAGACACATCGGTTCGAGCGACCAATGTAGATCTGAAGAGACATCGTTCAATCGCTGCCCCGGATTGATGATACACTTGATCGTCTAGCTGGTGCATCGATTTTCACGGCCCAGATACTTCGAGTGGCTTGTATTGCCTTTCGGCCTATCGAACGCCCCCGCAACCTTCCAGAATTTGATGAATCGCATCTTTGCACCGTACTTGAACCGAGTTGTTACGGTATACTTGGATGACATTCTCATATTTTCCAAGACCCCAGAAGAACACGCACGCCATTTAAGGGTGGTGTTAAAGGTCCTTGAGGAAAACCAGTTACGTGTCAAGCTTTCCAAGTGCGATTTTTGGAAGACCGAAGATGCGATTGTTACAGTGGACCCCGAACGGGTCGAGTGCAACGCCCATAGGAGCGCCTCCCGCACAACACTGTGGGCCTTATTCAAAAAGAACTCGGCCAGGCCGTACTAACTTCACTGGACACACGGCCTCAGTTAGTACGCTTAAACAGAAAATAGAGGCTCCGACGTGCGCCCTCAATCTTCGTCATTGTACATCGGTAAACGGCAAACAACCATGTCTGCGTCGTTGACATATAAGAAAGGGTGATTGTGAGGTTCATGTTCCCAATGTTTTGGCAAGTAGTCCCGTGCCGCAAAAGCAGTTAAACGGGCCCAAAAGTCAGAGATAACCTCGTAAGTAATGCGGTTAAGCGATGGCGTTGATATAGGCATGTTCAGAGGGATGCAAAGATTAGGGATTGGGTTCGGGTACCGGTCAGGCAGGAATTAGGATTCGAAAATAGGGGCAGGATTAGGATACAAAGTTGAGGCCAGGTTTAGGATGAGGACCCGAGTGTAGGATTAGGATTGGGACCCGGCCCCAGGATTAGGATTGCGACCCGGCCCCAGGATTAGGATTGGGACCCGGCCCCAGGATTAGGATAAATACCTATATCCAGGATTACGATTAGTACACTGGTATTGGATTAAGATTAGGGCACCGCAATGATTGGCAATTAGTATACTGCTATGTAGGAGGACTATCAAATCCCAGCCCCTCCAGCTACCGTTCAGACTGGGTTAGAAAGTTGCTATGCCATGTCATACTAAGTGATGTCGCGTGTGATGTGTGCGCTCATGCTCCTGATCACGGAAGCCATATGCTCCAGGAGCTCCAGCCATGCTTCTGACAGGCATCTGCTGATCAGTAAAATTGCGATAAAACAATCTGCAAAAATTGACGAGGACGGTCTAGACACGAAGACGTATGGATGGCGTCCGCGCCTCCTCCGGAACCAACTGCACGACATTGAGGGAGGCAGTCGCGTGGTATGCGTCCTTATAAAATATTAGTAGGTTAATACTGGATTCACATGCTACGTTACGTTGCGAAAACTTTTAGGTAAAAGTGGCCCTGAGAAAGTCACCCAGTTCACACGGGACATTACGACGACGTTGTATTCGTTGGCGCGAGCTGTGTAAAACCATCTCCATTTCATGTCAAAACTTCAGAACATCCCCTTAGAATTGCAATATATATTTGAAGGGTGATTGGCAGCCCTGCCTACTGCAATGGCACTGCATTCCGCGCGAGCCGCGATGGCGTTTGCCCTAGCGGTCGCGCTGGATGAAATTTTTGATAATCTTATGTTCAATGCTCAGTGGCAGAGATTGAGCGTGTGGGCCGACGCGGCGCGGCCCATGCCGCCGGAAGTGCGGCCGACTTGCCGTTTCGCGGGTGGCTTCAGCCCTGATACTACAGTGGGTTACATATTGGCTATGTAAGCGGTCGTGAGCGGTCGAGCAACACGAGCGGCGTTGTCCTTGTTCATTTTTATAATATAAGGCAGCGGTGTGACTAGAAATTCAGTCGGAGTGCAAAGCGCGCACAATTTGTCAAGTATGTGGTCTTTATAAGCGATTGGGCTTGGCCGTTTGTTATAACTCGCGAAATTGGCGACGCATTTCAAGTAACGGTACGAGGGGTCAGCGTTTGACGAAATTGACCCCCCCCCCTGGTCACTTTAGACTTTTCGTCCACTTTACCGGTAACGTACCGTTACCACATCCGAACCGACCACTTTTTCCAAAAAGTTTCAACGTAACGTAGCATGTGAACTGGCTAAAGTAGGTTAAATGTCGGAAACTTTATGAATAATTTTTCTACTATGCGCACGTGCTAACATTACTGGCTCAACATCATAGGTCGACATCGTGTTACGAGACATGTCCTGCTTATTGGGTTGTACTTCATAGCTGCGAAAGCCCCTGGTATTTATGGCATTGAAGGTCTCTGCTTCGCTGCCAGTGTGGATGGTGTTCCATTGGATCACCTCTCTCAGCTACTCCTTCCAAGGACGTGTTTGCTCTACCTGCTTGTTGTTTATTCTCGGGCTTCGGGCTTTGTATGAATGAGCTTATTGTTATGCGCACATGTTAACATCTTTTGGCTCAATATCATACGTAGACATCGTTTCGCGAGGGATGTCCTGCTTATTGGGTTGCGCTTCATAGCTGTGAAAGCCCCTGGTATTTATGGCATGGAAGATCTCTGGCGCGCTGCAAGTGTGGATGGTGATCCATTGGATCACCTCTCTCAACGTGCATTTTATCTTCGACCGCCCCACAGTCGCATCTGCAGATGCTTGAATCAAGGTGTTTAGACGCAGTATCCCTGCTTAAACTCTTCGTATGGCACGATACTGCAGAAATGGCCAGGATGCGCAGCTTCGTCAGCCTGCTTTTTATGTTTCAAGTTTTACTTCGTTTGATCATGTACCCGCTGTAAAATTGCATTGGTTTTTTTACGCACTTGCATTGCCATCGCCTCGCGCCTGTATGGCA